ATGAAAGGAGATGAAAAGTATGAGAGGACAGATCCTCAAGTTTTAACATCCAACAGAAGTTCCAGACAGAAAGTTGGAGAGAATGAAGAGGAGAAAAATATATTTCCTTAAATGATGGAAGGAGTATTCCCAATGTTAAAGAAAGACTCATACTGGAAGAGGGTACCAACTGCTAAGCAGAATTAATGAAAAGTTCCATACCTGTACTCATACTGGTGACATTCCATAAAACCAAGGATAAAGAGAAAATCATTAAGGTTTCCAGAAGAAAAAAATTAGGTTATTTGCACAAACTAGATTGATATCAGGCTTCTTCTTAGCCATATTAGATGACAGAAGACTGTGGAAAAATAGCTTTGAAATTCTGAGGGGAACATGATTTGGAATCTCAAGTTCTGTTTTTAGCCAAACTATCCTCCAAAATTGAGAACAAATACATTTCAGGAATGCAAAGTCTCAAACATTTTTTGAAAGAAATCCCTTCAGTAGAACCAACAGAAGGACATAGGATACAAGAAGCAGTGATAAGCAAAGAAGCCAGCCAACTTAAAGTCAAGTCGAAATGTTTAAAAATGTTTCTGTGAAGCATAAGGAATGTGGTAGTAGTAATAATAATAATAGCAATTTGGGGGAACTATTGGATGATTTCTACAAATCTTGGAAGGGGGACAGGAGGAAAGCATACTTTTTTGGTTTAGGAAAGATTATTTATTAACTCAATGTTGATAGAATTATGTCAGTTTAAATATTTGTCAAAAATGGAAAGGTGAAAAAATTTTAAGGATGACCATTAAAAGAGGAAAATAGGGTGAATAATTTCTAAACTAGATAGCTCAGCAAAATGTTTCTGTAAAGGACTGGATAGTAAATATTTTAGACTTTACTTTTCTAGCAAAGATCGATTCTTAGATAGGGTAGATCCTAAATGATAATAGGATACTAGATCATGGTGTATCTGTGTTATAGAACAGTGTTACTTAAAGTGTGATTCGTGTAACAGTGCCAGTCAGCAAACTAACTGGTCCACCATAAGGTGAGTACAGAGTAGGGTAGTTAGAAACTCTTATAGCATTGTGACATTGTCATAACTTCCAAATGTGTGATCATTTTTCTAGTAACTCATTTTACTGTATTTTACAAAACTATCAGTCAGTAATAGTTTACAAATTAAAAACAAAACTGGTTTAGGAAGCATTATTAAGAAATACAATGCAGGTATTGAAAAAAAATGAAGTACATCCAAATGTATAGATAGGTTAAGTGAAAAAAAGCAAACTATAGAACAGTATAAAAGGTATGATTCAATGTGTTTTTAAAAACACAAATATATGTAATGAATTTTTAAAATGGGGAATAATTCATATCAAATTGTTAACCATAATTACAAAAAAGAGATTGTGGTTGGAGGGAGGGTTTGAAGGATGTTATAATAAAGGAGTATTTTCATGTTTTAGTCTATATACTTTTGTATTGTTTGACATTTTTTGTAATAGTATGTTTTCATTTATTGTGTAATGCTTTCTAAATATTTTATTATTTAAATTAATGACCTCTTGGTCTTTTCAGTAGGGTTCAGTAATTCAGTAGTTAAATAGTTGATACCTGTCAATTGACTATCCACGTGGAAAACTAGGACCTTTAACCTCTGCCTCACACAATATACAAAAATTAATTTGAGATCATAAAGCAAAATGTGAAAGTTAAAACAGTAAAACTTCTAGAAGAATACATGGAATAATGTCTTCATGACTTTGGAGTAGGCAAAGATTTCGTCAACAGGACACCAGAGGCACCAAAAACAATGGAAAAGACTTATAAATTGGGCTTCATTAATATTAGATGTTAGGTTCATAACGAGACACCTGTAAAGGAGAGAAAATGCAAGCTACAGATTGAGAGGAGATATTTGGTATATTACATATATATGAAATCTAGAATTATATATATTTTCTCTGTGTTTGTGTGTGTATGTGTTTCCTGATGGACTTTGTATCCTACAAGTTAATAAGAAAAAGACAGACAACCCAGTTAAAAAATGGGCAAAAAGTTTGAAGAGGCACTTCACAAAGAAGATACCCAGATGGCCAATTCGCATACGAAGAGGTTCTCAACATCATTAATTACAAGAGAAATGCAAATTAAAACTACCATATCTGGATCAGAATGGCTAATATTAAAAGGACTCATGAGACCTAATGTTGGTGAGGCTATAGATAGAGCATTTAGAACTCTTACATTACTCATGGGAGCGTCAATTGGTACAACACTTTGAAAAACGTGCTATCTACTGAAGCTGGACATCATGTAAATTCTATGGTGCAGTAGCTCCACTCCTGAGTATTCTCCCAACAGAACTGAGTGCTTATGTTGAACAAAAGACAAGTACAAGAGTATCCGTGTTAACTTTATTGCTAATAGCTAAGAAATCTTTCCATCAGGAGTATAAATAAGTTGTATATTCATTTAATTTGCTACTACACAGCATGCAAAGAAGGAAATACTGCTGTACACGACAACATGGATGAATCTCATTGACATAATATTGAGTAAAAGGAGCAAAGATGAACGGATACCTACTGCGTGATTTACTTTATTTGATTTATGGTGACAGAAGTCAGAGTAATGGTTTGTTTTGAGGGTATTGACTGGCAGGACGGCACATAGGAGCATTCTGGGATGCTGGAAATCTTCACTACCTCAATCTGGATGGTGGCCATACAGGCATATGTAACAATTCATTAAAGTCTACACCTACAGACTTAACATCTGCATCCTTGTTATATTTCAATAAAAATGTTTTTAAAAACCCAATTCGTTCGTGACCCTCTGATTTGAAATTCTCTCGTTTTCATATACCAAATTCTTAACATATTCAAGGAGCTTTTGGTAGGTCTTGCATTGTTTTTCATTTGTCTAATTTTGCAGATGTACTGTTTGGATTTAATCATTGTTGCTTCATAATGCATTTAGTGTTTAATGGAGTGAGTCTTTTCTACTTACGTTTTCTAAATTATCTTGGATATTCTCATGTCTTTATTACTACGGATAATCTTTAGAATCAACTAGCCAAATTCTCACACACCCTCATGCCATTGGAATTTTGATTGTAATTACATAAAACTAATAAATCATAGATCTGGAGATCATTGGCACTGTATGTCTCACCATTTCCTCTCAGTTGTATATTTGTCTTCGTGTGGCTCCTGCAGGTTGTTTATTTTTATTTTTGTACGTTATTGTTTTGCTATTGTGAATGGGAACTATTTTTGTTATATTTTTATGTTCCTTGATGTAATATCCTTGGTATTATTGTAACTTGTTAATCATAATAATGATAATAGCTATTATTTATTGAACACACTGTGCTAAATAGTCTTATTTGCTTTTTTCAACAACCCACATCAGGTAACTACTACGACAACATTATGCTCATTTTTACATTTGGAGTCAATGAGGGACAAAGGCTTAAGGCTGAACAGCTGGTTTGTAGTGGAGCTATGATCCTACCCTAGGCAATCTCTCTCCAGAGCTACGTTGCCTACAAACACTGCTCCTGGTGTCCTCAGGTGAAGGAGGAGACCGTGGGAGGGGGCAAGTGTTCAGTCAAGTCCAGTGTTGATGGGTATGACTGACAATACAGTGAGTGAGTAGTAACTGGATGCAAATAAGCAAGACTCATACTAAAGTGGATTTTTTGGTACATGTTTGTTTATGTTTGTAGAATACAGTATTCTAGTTTGGACTTACTCAAACCAAATAAAGTCCTACAGTTTTTTTAATCATTAACAAATGAATCAGTGATAATTTTATGTATTCTCAGGGTACTACTTTATTTACCAAATGAAGATAACTATTATTTTAGTTGTCTTCTTTGTTTGCAAGGAACTACCACTCATTCCCTGTAGCTGAAACAGTGAATGTGTGTTGTGAAGATACACATGGCAGTAAGGGAGACGGACTCTCATGGCTGTCTAAGATGTGCATCCATAGACTGGCCAGCGCTTGTGGAGACTAAAACTGTCTTTTGTTTTGGATCAAAATCAGCTTTAGGCACCTCAGCAGCAAAAGTTTTTAGATCTTCACTACAGTATGCCGTCTTTACCTTACCTCAGCTGTCACTGTCTCTGTTACCTGCTTTTTTGTCAATCCATTTGCTTTTATACTAACGATTTGTTTTCTTCTTGGTCCCAGGTAAAATTTCTGAGAGAGGACAGTTGGTTGGCCAAGATAGTTACTGTGTTTGGGCCAAGCTTTTCATGCTTCATAACTATTGAACGGACTATGGATTGGCTGCCTTAAGTCAGTATCTGCCACAGAAGTTCTTGTCATTTCCGGCCAGGGAGAGATGGCAGGTTGTGTGAAACATGGGTCATCTAGGGCTCCCTCTTCAGTGGCAAGGCTGGATTTGCCCTAGAGAAAGAGAGTGTGATTAGTATATACTCTGATTAACGTGTTTAATAGCCAGTGCATGTTTTCCCTTTTAAATAAAATCTAAAGAAGTGGCTAACATTGAAAACAGCAGTTGAATTTAGAGATTGAGCAGTACAGAAGGGGAAGTATTAAAGAGAATGCTTGTATAGATGACTTGAGAACAATCCTTTGCTTACTGCTTTGTAAGCCTGATAACAAACATGTAGTCTTATATCTGTAGTAAGTAGCTTGGCTAAAATGTGTATTTAGTTAGGATCTTTAAAATCTCACATGAGTTACTGATAAATATTAGGGAAGTTTTTTTCCCTTGATATTTTAATGCCTAGGTTTGGCTTGAAAAGAAGTTTTGAGAATTTTGCAAACCCTAGATTTTAGAAAGCTTTTAAGAATATTCTCTGGTGTATGTGTTATTTAACCCAAGATCAGTGCTGAATTTAAGGTATATAATGAGATGTGTATTATGATAGTAAACAATTTGTAGTAAAACCAAAAAACTGAAATATTATGTTCAATAATATATGGATATTGGCAATAAAATTTTTTATAAATACTTGTTAAATTGATTCTAGGTTGGGCCATGCAGGCTGCTGCCTATATCTTCATTCATAGGAAATGGAAGGATGACAAGAGCCATTTTGAAAACGTGATTGATTATTTTTGTGATATCCGTGAACCACTTCAACTCCTCATATTCCCAGAAGGGACCGATCTCACAGGTAAGGTAGCCTGGGTTTGGAGCACAGAATTTTAAAACATGAAGGAACTTAGAAGTCATCTAGTCTTAGCTTGTTATTCCTCAGATGAAGTAACTGATTAGTGGCCCACTCCTAAGGTCACTCGTTAATCAACAGCACGTTGGAACCCAGAACTACTGGTTTCTAGCCCCTAGAATTTATGATGGGCAACCCCAAGAGGTCATTATTATTCATACTTGCCATCCTGCAGCTTTATCTTTTAAGTCTTAGTATGTATTTTAAATATCAGCCTTTTACTTTTATATAAGCCTAGTTGTAAAATCCCCTTTCTGTTCTATATATTCTCTCTCCTCTTCCAAGGTACATATTTACCCCTTAGAGCCTTTCTCAAGTTTTTTGTTATAAGAAAAGCATCTGATAGTAACCAACTTTATTTATCGTTGATTTAAGTTAATATGTTACCTTTCTCTTGGTATTTTAAAGCCTTATCTCTCATGTAAGCAGGAAAGGCTTTGTCCTTTCCTCAAGAAAATTCAGGCGTCATTGAGTTGTGGAGAGGACACAGGAGGACATGTTTTCTGCCTTCCCAGATATCAAACTACATAGGCCAAGAATGCCAGTGGATTTCAAGGAATTCTTTGAAAGATTAAAAACAAAGTACAGTCTTTCATCCTTACTAAATCAGTGGTTTTCACATTGTTGTAAACCACAGGTCGTTTTTGCAGCTGAGGTCTTCTGTTGCAGTCTAGGATTTAAGACAGCAGGAGAACTGCTCTGGATGAATGTTGGCAGGGGTGGGGCGGGGAAGGCTCGGACAGAAAGCAGTTCTGTAGAACCCTTCGACTCAAAAGAGCAAAATTTAAAAACTTTTAATAACCCTGGTTACCTCAAAGAGACTGCAGAATTTGAGAAGGATGCAGTGGGTGAAGGTCGGCTGTGTGAGGGAAGACAGACTGAAGCAGTATGGAGCTGGTCTAAAAGCCCCACACAACATGGAGAGACGGAGCATGTGCGCGCCTGCCAACCCTCAGTACAGCTGGACACAAGAGCTGCTGCTCAGAAGCACAACCTTAGAGCTTAAGAGAGGAGAACGTGTAAATGAACACACTAGCCCACTCTGTGCATTTAGTCATTTATGGAACCCAGTGCCCAACAAGAGAGTTAGGATGAAAATACAAATAGCTCAAGTATTTAAGTAAGTGAGTGGGTAACTAAGCTGTATGTTAATAGGGGAAATTAAGGTATTTGGGCGTACATTTACCATTGATACCAAGGAAGAGATCTTTGACTTACCTGTTGCAGGTGGGACTGAGCTAAATGAACTGTGGCAATTTTTATCTACTAATATCATGTACTAAAATATTTGCCTACTGTATATGTTTGATTTTTATAGTTAAAATGCTAAAAGTAGTTGGATCAAAGAGGATACTACTGAGGATACTATTGCCTGCATATGGTTTAATCTTGAAAATGTATCATTGTAAGTTATAAGTTGATTGATTCCCAGAGCTAAACTATCATTAGGAAATTATAATGGACAGACAGCCATATTTAAACTTTCTAATATTTAGAATGTATAATATTTAAATTTTGGTATTGAAATATCAGCTGTATTAAAGTAGGGAATGAGGGAATTAATTTAATTTAATCCCTCATTATCAGCTGTATTAAAGTAGAGAAAGTCATTTACTGAAATGATAGATTTATATTTGTGAATGCCAAAATGTACACTAACGAAAGGCGGCATTGGAAGTCATTTAATAATTAAAAGCTAATGGAGAAAACTCATGGGTTGCTCTGCTTTGGTACATTAGTGTTAAAATGTTCATACATTAGACCTCTAGAACCTATAAAGTATAAATTTAAATGTTTTTTCAGTCTATATTTTTTCTCAAGTGTCTTTTTAAGGTGATGAACTTAATATTTAGTTGCATATTTTCATGGTCCAGAGTACTCACCATTATATGATGTAGTTGCATTTTTTTTGCTGAGGAAATTTGCCCTGAGCTAACATCCATGCCAATCTTCCTCTGTTTTTTAATATGTGGGTTGCCAGCAGAGCATGGCCATCAACAGAGCAGTGTTGATGCAGTTCCTGCATCCGGGAACTGACCTGGGCCCCCGAAGCAGAGCGCTTTGAACTTAACCACTAGGCCCCCGGGGCTGGCCCCTGGAGTTGCCTAATTTTTAAGTTAAGATGATATTTACATTTTAAGGCCAACTTGCAAAAGCCAGACTATTTGGCACATAGAGAAAACAGGCTGATCCTGAAGCTTTAAAAAGTTTTTTGTTTTTTTTTAACAGTATTATACAGATAGCTTTGAGTTGGGATAAATGATTTTTTTTAAAAGGCTAGCAAAATACTTTCAATTTTGAAAAAGTATCTGTTAATTCAAAGATGTTTTTAGTTATTACCATAGTTAACTTTAAACTTGGGTTTTTAAGCCCAAAGACAATGTTTTACAGTGTTCTTTAAGTTCTGAATCCCACTTGCCTGTACATTTTCAAATTAGTGCATTTAAAATGTAACTTTACATATCCTCTATCTTCATGTATTAGCATTGGTTATAACTTTTTTCTTGCTTATGGAAGTAATGTATGTTAATTTGGGGGATTTTAGAAACATAGAAGAAAGCACAAAAATTACTACAATTCTATTGCCCCTAAATAAACACTATTCTAATTTTGGTCCATTGCTTTTGAGTCATTTGGTCACACACATACACATATACATACACACACATAGGCATATATATGTATATATACACATAAATATAACTTTAAACAAAGTTGGAAAATTAGATTTATACTTTTGTTTGTACTTAATGTTATACTGTGATCTCTCACATTGTTATTTATTCTTTGAAAATGTGTGTTTTAAAGGTTGGGTAGTTTTATATTATATTTATTAGTTGGGATTGTCCAGAAAAACAGAACCAACAGGATGTGTGTACGTGTGTATATATGTGTGTGTGTGTGCGTGTAGAGAGAGAGATTTATTTTAAGGAATTGGCTCATGATTGTGGAAGCTTGGCAAGTCGGAAATCTGCAGGGTAAGTCAGCAGGCTGGAGACCCAGGGAAGAGTTGGAGTTTAAGTCCAAAGGCATTCTGCTGGCAGAATTCTTTCTTGCTTGAAGAGGTTAGTCTTTTTCTTTAAGGCCTGCAACTGATTGGGTAAGGCCCACCAACATTATGGAGGATAATCTTCTTTACTCAAAGTCTACTGATAGAAATATTAGTCTCATCAAAAAAAATACCTTCATAGAAACATCTAGAATAATGTTTGACCAAATATCTGGGTACCATGGCCTAACCAATTTGACACATAGAATTAACCATCTCAGTTGGTATATAGTCACGCACCACATAATGATGTTTGAGTCAACAATGGGCTGCATATATGATGGTGGTCCCATAAGATTAGTATCATACAGCCTAGGTGTGTAGTAGGCTGTCCCATCCAGGTTTGCATAAGTACACTCTGATGTTGGCACAGTGACGAAATCTCATAGCCTGATGCATTTCTTAGAATGTATCCCCATCGGTAAGCAGCACGTGACTGTACTATAATTTTGAGTTCTGTTTCCCTATTTGGAAAGGAAAGCTTTTCTAGGTTTTAACAATTATAATATTACATGCAATTAAACACCCTTGTATGTTTAATATATTTAATATATACATGAGTGCCTGGAGCTTTATATGCAAAACAATGTCCCTGCTTTCATGAAGCTTACTTTCTATGAGGAAAAACAGATAACACTAAGAAGTTAATAAAAATGTCAAGTATTCATAAACGTGCAGAAAAATAAAGCAAGATAAGGAGAGAGAGAGTAATAGAAGATGGGGGCATAGGGTTTTATAGAAGGTGGTTAGAGAAAGCCCTGTAAGTGTCTATTTGAGTAGAGACGAAGTGAACAAAGCAGAAAACTGTGCGGATACCTGAGTAAAAGGCCTTCTGGGGCGAGGTAAGAGCAACTGCACAGACCCTGCAGTGGGCACATGCCTGGCTGGTTTGAGAACAGCGAGTGGCCAGGAGTCTCCCTGGAGTGGAAGGAGCACTGGCATTGCAGGGTTATGGGGAGGGAGCTGACAGACAGGAGGCTGTAGTCATAAAGCGGGAGGCTAGTGCTCTTACTAATAATCGCAGAGCGAGCTGGATAGATGAAGTAGGCATGGAAGGAAAATCTGCATCTCTAATCTCTCTGTGTCTCTGATTAGTTCACCTGCCGACATCGTGACTGTACGTTTAGAACTACTTATACTTGTATTCACATTCTACCACAGAGTTCAATTTTGTCTTCAGATCCACAACGTCTGTGGCAAACTGAAAAGTAGTTAACTACTCATCTTTATAGTGTCCTTGGGAGTCCTCGTTCCATGTAAGGGCCTGCCAGCTGTCTATAAAATATCTCTTTGTAGTCGCATGCCTACGATGTTCTCCTCAAGTGACTGAGAGGAGCTGATTGCTTTTCATGTTTAGAGCCTTTACTTTCGACTTGCTGGGGATCTGTAGGTATTTAGTTCTTTGACCCAATTCCTCAATTATAAAGTAATATAACACTTTTTTGTGTGTGTGAGAGGAAGATTGGCCCTGAGCTAACATCTCTTGCCAATCTTTCTCTTTTTGCTTGAGAAAGATGGTATCATCTGTGCCAGTCTTCCTCTATTTTGTATGTGGGATGCTGCCACAGCATGGCTTGATGAGTGGTATAGGTCCACGCCCGGGATCTGTACCTGCAAACTGCCCCTGGGCCGGTCCCTGTAACACCTTTTATAGGCATGTTCTTTGAATATTTTAGTGTTGTGGAATCCATCTGTGATTTTTGGAGGCTTTGAGGACCCCGTGCTCTTAAACTTATTCCTAGAAAAGTTGTGTTTATATATATAGTTTTTTTCTTGTGACTTGGAATAGTCTGTGAATTTCAGGGTGCAGCTGAGGATTGCAGGTTCTAACATCTGCTGTCATCAGAAGGTAGTTTTCATGATCTCCTCCAGCAGTTGAGGCCAGATTTCTGAACACTACTTTTTCCAAATATATTTGCTGATTAATGGGTTTGGTTCTTCTTGGAACTTATAAAGTTACCTCATGGAATGGAAAAAGAAGTTTTTGCCAACAATTGGAACATATACTTGTCTCTGTAACTCTATTCAGCCAAACCATGTTCAGATGTTTGTACAAGATGTGCTAATCATGTGCCTGCCTGTTGTGGAGTGGTTTTGGTTAGTGACATTAGCATGCTCTGTGCCTGAGCAGCGCAGATACTTCGCTTTGCATTGAAGCCCTAAATTATTGGGTTAAAAAAAATGTTGATCTGATATATTTGGCAAATTGCTAGTTATTTCTTTTGGATGTCTAGATCCTTATGTTTTACTAGTATTTTAGTTTGATTTTTTTAGCATCTTATATTTTAGTATTTCAGTTTTTACTATGTAAGGACTATTTTATGAAAATTTTAGTTTATTAGTATTTTGTTCGTAGTTCAGTTTTCATTGTATATTGAAAATTTTATGAAACATCTTAAAGAATTCTAAAAATTTGAATATGAATTTCAGGAAACTGTTATAAAAAGTCTATCAATATCTTACAAAGTTTTCAAAATCCTAATAACTAGACATCTCTAGGATCTTTGTTAGGGACTGACTAAATTGTTTATATCTTTTCGTTTGACTTAGTATGCTGTATTCAGTAATTACAGAAAAATTAAGTGCCATTTTTATGAGAGAAATTCTGTGCTATTTTCTTACCTCAAGCATCTTCCTTTATTTTGTGGCTTCTAATGGTCTGTTCTTTTGTTTAGAAAACAGCAAGGCTCGAAGTAATGATTTTGCTGAAAAAAATGGACTTAAGAAATATGAATATGTCTTACATCCAAGAACTACAGGCTTTACTTTCGTAGTAGACCGTCTAAGAGAAGGTAAGCACCCGTCTCAAAGTGTACTTTTTATGTAAGTGGCAAAAATTGCTAAACTTTGTATATAGCTCTTTAGAATTTACAAAGCACTTTTTCATATTTTATCTCAAGAAATGAGATACTGTATTTTCATGCTTGTTTGACCCCATGTAGTAAACTGTTTTGTTATGTATTCCCTAGAAATATAAAAGATATCTTTGGAAAAACACAAAATGTTTTTTCCCCTCTTTTGGAATAGACAGCAGATGATACATACAATTAGATTATCATACCATTTTTAAATGTTTGGCAAAGTAGAAAAATTATCTTGAAAGTATCATCACTTATACTATAGTTCTTTATAGCTTAAAAAATATTTTTACATTCATTATTCCACTCACTCCAACAAATGATTCTGGTTGCTAGAAAGGCAAGTACTCTACCTCCATTTTATAGTTAAATAAAACTGGCATCCAGGGCGGGTAGTACATTTCTGTAGGTCAAGGGTAGAACCTCATTCTTCTGCTTCCTAGTTTGTGGCTCATACTACTTACTACCTCATACTTCCTCTAGAGCCGTGTGTCTTGAACGGCATGTGGGGATGTGGTGATTCCGTTGACAATATCACACCCATTTAGAACAATTCAAAGCTCAGAGTCACCTAGCAGAAGAAAATTCTTGTTTGCATGTTTCTGCTCTCCACTCTGATTTCTACCAAACCTATTGTATAATGGTGACGTCTGTGACAGATTATCTGGTAATTGCTACATTGTCCTAAAACTGCTTGTGTCTACCATGAAAGGTCTTGAACCATTATGTAAGAAAAGGTATGAAGTTTTTCCTTCTTTCCCAAATGGCATTACTGTTGTTCCTTCAGGGTTTAATGTGCTTTAAGATACAAAGTATAACCTCAGTTACTGAACTCTGCCAAGATGAAGCATCTTTACAACTAAGTACCCTTGGTTTTAAAGAACTGTGTAGTCAGTTCAAAATCACGTTGGTATAGTAAACCGAAAATGTTGTCCCTGTTAGTTTCGCTTGCTTTTGAAATTCTGTGGTTATAACTAATGTGAAACAGACTTGTGGGCATGCTGGTTATATTGTGTGTGAGCACTGAGTGTCCATCTACCCCTTGAAGCTGAGAGAGAGCGCAGTTCTTCCTGCCTGTGGAATGGGACAGGGAGGCACTGAGACGTTACAGCAGTGATTTTTTTTTAAACATGGTTCCACTTACTGTGGCATCCAACTTAGACTCACCCTTCTCATTCAACAATATGTTTTTTGTTTCCTCACATAATCTGATAGTTTATAGTATATAATGATTTCTTTAAAGGTATTTCTGACATCATGGGACACATTGATCTACTGGGTTTCTCTGTTAACACAGTGTGCTGTTGGAACACCTCTTTTGCTAATAAAGATCTTCCTAAATGTAGGCAGGATAAGTGAGAGATTATTTTATAGTGGATAAGGATGTTATCTATAGAGTTCTTTGTTCTGAAGTCTGGAAAATACTTTAGTAGCAAACTGATTTATAACTTCGGGGAATGTGTATTACTTAGTCATCACTCAGGGTGCTAGTCAACAGCCCCAGTCTGTCATTTTTCCTGCTAGAACTGGCAGCTGATTTCCCTCCACTCTCCATCAGTAAAAAAGAGAAACAAGTTAGGTGATTCCGTTTGCTTAAGTTAGAAAACTACAGTTAGATGATTCCATTTGTTTGAAAAGTAGAATGTGACCTGTATACTATAATAATAATAAAAATAAGAAATATGATTATGATAATAGTAATAGCAGCTAACATTTACTGAGCATTTATTAAGTACCAGGTTTTATGCCAAGTGTTTTATATGCAGAAGTTCAATTAATCCTCACAACAACCCTGCTTGGTAGTTATCATTATTAGTATTTGACGTGTAGGGCAAAACTGAAGCAGAAATTGAGGTGAAGAAGCTTGTCAGAGTTATTGGAATATGGTTCATCTGACTAAATATCCTATGCTCTTTCTTTTGTAACTTGGTATCTTTATATTATGATTTTAGTTAAAGTCTCCAAATCATAAAGCACTTTTTTAATAATAGTGAGCTGGATGATTTTCTTGTAAAAAGATTTTAAAGGGGCTGGCCCAATGGCGCAGTGGTTAAGTTCACATGCTTCACTTCGGTGGCCTGGGGTTTGCAGGTTCAGATCCCGGGCACAGACCTACACACCACTCATCAAGCCATGCTGTGGCAGTGCCCCACATAAAAAATAGAGGAAGACTGGCATAGATGTTAGCTCAGGGATAGTCTTCTTCGAGCAAAAAAAGAGAGATTGGCAACAGATGTTAGCTCAGGGCTAATCTTCCTTACCAAAAAAAAAAAAAAAGATTTTAAAAAAGAAGCTAAATGGCCAGATCACAGAAGGATGGTAGTCACAAGGGAGGTGGTTATGATGCTACTTGAGATGACGGGGGAGCAGGCACAGCCTAGGGAGACATCAGGTAGAGAGTTGAAGGCAACTTTGCTTTCAGGCGGTGGGAGGGTGTCAAGTGAACAGAAAGAGAAGAAAGTTTGATCAAGGATCAGAGATGAGGAGGATCTTAGAAATCATCTAGTCTAGAGTACCCGTTTACAAAAGGAGTCTAAGACTCAGAAAGGGCCCAGCACAACTTTTTTTTTTAGATTTTTTTTATTTTTTCCTTTTTCTCCCCAAAGCCCCCCGGTACATAGTTGTGTATTCTTCATTGTGGGTTCCTCTAGTTGTGGCATGTGGGACGCTGCCTCAGCGTGGTCTGACGAGCAGTGCCATGTCCGCGCCCAGGATTCAAACCGACGAAACACTGGGCCGCCTGCAGCGGAGCGCGCGAACTTAACCACTCGGCCACGGGGCCAGCCCACCAGCACAACTTTCTGTTCTTCAGACCCCTGAGATTGCTTTTGATAATCAATTATGTGAAAAAGAAGCTTGCTGTCAAAACAAATGACCATTATAAATAAATTATTCCAATAGAATCCTGGAGATCACATATTAAAACAAATTGCCATAAAGTAACATCTTTACCACTCATGCTTATAACTGAATTCACTGTTGCTGACATTTATTACACAATCACCACAAATGGGCAGATGAGAAGTTTAGGACATCAAGAAGTTAAGGATAAAGTCTTACCAGGAAGCACTGAATAAATGAAAATGCAAAACAAGGAAAGAAGTTTCTGTGCCTCTGTTTAGATTAAGAACATTTAGAAAACACACAGTTATCGTGAAATATAACACCCATTGTATAAAGTTATACAGGTGTGTTGTTCCTGTAATAGTAATTGCAAAAAGTTTACCCTGAGTACTTTGATTTTCACCATTTGTTTGCTTGCTTTATACTCTTACTAGGTCATAACCTTCTTGAGGATATGGAGTGTTCTGCACATAGAGACTCCATCAGTATTAGCTGAGTTAAATATTTTTTCCTTTATCTGAAAAGTAAGACGAGCATAGTGTCCTAGCATGTTCTTCTCAGTGCATTATATATTACACTGATAGATATCTGTCGTGGATGATTTATTTCATATGTACTTCTTACCATAGAACCTTTCAATATATGATTATGTAAGTTTTTTCAGTACTAGATTAACCCTAAAAGAAGTCAATAACTTAGAGAAAAGAGGCTTTTATATGAGAAAGTTTGTCTTTTTAATTATACAACTATAATAAATTTATCACATAATTTTAAAATTTGAACTCTTCGCACCAAAAATTAGTTATATCCATCAATACCTCTGGTGCTTCATCATTTTTAACAATAAATAGCTTTATTCTCCTTTGATTTCAAGCAAATAATGATTTGGTTGAATCATTATTTGATTTTGTTAAATGTTTTGTAAGCCAGTTACTGAGTTGCAACCACGTAATAATTACGTTTACCGTTAGGCGGCACAAGTGTGCATATTTGAAACAACTTGAAATTAAAGTAGTAGTGGGAGGTGAGAGAGAAAACACTTCATAGTTGTTTGAGGGTATGTCTCGTTTAAGATATGACCTTGCCTTCAAGAAGTTTACAATCTTCATGGATAGATAAGGTTAATATAATATACATGGAAAAATCTAAAACTAATATGACAACATAATTACATGCTGAGTTTTATGGTATATAATGTATAAATATTATGCCAAATAATTACAGGAGTGTTCAGTAAAGAGAGAGTGTAGACTTGAAATACTCAGTTAAGGCTTCTTTAAGAAGCTGCATTTCCCTTGGACCTTCAAAACTATGTCGTTTGGCTGGACAGAAAAAACGAAGATGGCTGAGGGCAGGAAAGGAAGAGTACAAGAAGGGGTACAGAATTTGGCCCAGTGTAGAGCTGAGCAGTAGACTAGACAAAACCAATCTGATAGAGCTGAAGACTTGTGTTGTAGAGTAACCAATAATATTTAAGAAGGTTGTCTGGAGCCATTATTATTGAAATTCCTGCCCCCAGATAGTCATGTTTTTAGTTTGTTCATTTCTAGATGAAGTCACTCAAGTGAGTCATTCAACACTTGTGTTAAGATTGTAAAACATCATATAGATGTATTTAAGATTCGAATTTGAAATAAAATGTTTTTTAATTCAAAGTAAAATAATCCATATTTCAATCCATATTTTGCTCATATGCCTAAGTTCTAAACATGAAGAAATGAAAGATGCTGTCTTTCTGCTAACCTAGGGGATACAGGGCTAACCACTAAATAAAAAGTTCCCACTAGGTAATTTGGATCAGCACACCTGATCAAAACTCTGCAGTTTGTATTCAGGGAGAGAGAATTACTGACTTAACACCCAGATTACTTATATAGTATCTGATAGTCCTGTGTTTGGCTCCCTCATTTTGCTCTGCAGTAGTTCTCATTTGCTCCAAGAAAGTTGTTGCTTACCTAGGAAGTAAAAGCAGTATACCAATCATAGATGGCTCAGTCTTCAACAGTGTTGTTAGATCATTTTAATTTCTTGGACTTTTTGCTTAGTGCATGACTAACTACCGATAATCCACTCTGTTTCTTGTCTGTAGT